AAAAATTTCTATTCATCAAAATACTTGAAAATTGAATACAAGATTCCACGTTCACCCAGTCTTTCAAAAATGTAGAAAACCACGAAAATGTGCAAATTATTTTGTAGTAAAAAATGCATAAGATTTTTAATATTTATACCAACGATTTGAAAATTTAATATGAAGTTCTATAAAAATGTTACTTTAACAAATTATAAAACAAGTCGATCGTAATTCAAAACATTTTTGTTTGTTTGTACGCTTACTCAGTAGTTGTAGTATTTTCAGATGATATCTAACACTCAAGTTATGGTCAGAAATTTCTCTACAATATTAGATATATTATATTTTATTATTATGTTCACATTTATTTATTTTTCATTTTTTTGTATATACTTACTCAGTTATGGTTGTAAATACAGACGATAAACTATCTTCTGTAGGTGTAGTATCAATACTGCAAGGCAGGTTGAGATCATCTCTGTTCGTATTGTATACGATAATGATATGTAAGTATATTCGTATATTTATTTATTATTATAATTGTTAAACAATGTTAATCATACTAAGACCATAAATACCATAATTGAGGGGTAGAAATCCAAAACGTACGTGATGAAATCGAGTTAGGTATCGATTCTCATGGAAAAAATATCGATATAGTTTTAAGCCAATACGTACTATTGCCCATGCTAAAAGGATAGGAATAAATCATTAATTATATCAAAACGAACTATTTCCAAAATGTACTTTTTTTATGTTCCACCAAAACGTACTTTTACCCACGTTGTACGTATAATACCTATATATCGATGGCGTAGCGCACAAGTGTGATAAGTGACATTTTTTTGAAAAATGAGTTAAGTGCATAATCAATTTAATCATACAATTCTGCACATTATGCCCAAACGTTGTAAGTGAATAGTTCATTATTTACTCCGATAGATGTCGTACAGTTCGTTACATTTTTGAATTTGTTATGACATCTCAAACTTAAAAATCGCTCTCCTGAACAATTACGAAAATGTCACTTATCACACTTGTGCGCTACGCCATCGATATAGAGAAATAAAATTGTTATTTCAAAACCTACTAAAATTTAATTTTCAAAATTTTAATTAAGTTTTAAATTAAATTAAAAATATAACTCTAGACTATTGAACACATTTGAGTCGTTTTAAATATAAATAATATATTATTAAATAATTAAAAAAAAACTTTTAGATTCTGATTGGAACGATGAATATATTGATTTTACAATGATTACCTATATTTTTTTTTTTTAAATTTTTTTGTGTCTGTGTACACTATAAGTAGTCGAAATAATACTTCGATTTTTAACTTCAGTATCTTGTTAGATTGGAAAGTGAATCTAGTTGGTGCATTCGGGAGGTCAAATTTTAAAATTCTCAATAGTTTTCCCAGCGCCGGGATTAAACACATACAAATTAAGGAATTACGGGAAATTTTAAGCAAACTCTGTTTTCCAAAAAATCGATTTTGGTATTTAGTGTAACTCTAAAACAAATGAACGTATATACATGGCATTTTCACTGGTTGTTTATATTTGCATTTTCTATACACGATAAAATTTGTAAAATATTATGATTTGTTTTGAGTTGTTTAGGGACATTTTCATTGTTCATTTTTTTTTAGTTTTTATTCTAAAAATATCAATAAAATTTTATTTGTTGGTTTCGAAAGCTTGAAATGAATAGAAGGCTCCTAGTATATTGCATTTAAAGTTCAAAAATTGAAAAAATATGGAAAAGTCACGAAAATTAGCAAATTATTTTGAGTTAAGAATTCGTAAAAATGTTTCTTTTTAAATCTAAGGTTTTAAAATGTAATACAAGATTCCTTATAAGATTATCTACCTTTATCAAAAAAAAAATATCTATAAGAAAGTCAAATTAAATTTTTATGAGCATTTGAAATTCAAATTTTTACAACATAGGATAATCACTCGATTTCTCATGTAGCGATTTCCTTATTTTGTTGTAATTCAAAAACGAATAATTGTAGATACATGAAAATTTCACTGAATATTTATATTAGCATTTCCTATATACCCTACAATTTTGAAAATATTTTGACTCTTTTTGAGCTGTTTACGGACATTTTCAGTTTCCAATTTTTTTAGTTTCTTATTCTATAAATATCAATAAAGTTTTATCTGTTGAGCCAAAAAGTGTAAAAATGTAATACAAGGCTCCTGATATATTGTTACAATAGCAATTGAAAAATATTAAAAATACATTGGCACAATTTTTTTTATAAGCATTTAAAGATCGAATTTTGACAAAATTTATCAAATTTAAAATTGAATAATTATTTTTTAGTTAAAAATTCATAAAATGTTCAACTTTTATATCTAAGGATTGAAAATTTAAAACAAGATTCCACGTTAATATATTGTTACAATATCAGTTGAAAAATCTAAAAAATACATACGCACAGTTTATTTTTATAGTAATTTTAAGTTCAAATTTGGACGAAATTACATAAAAAAAAACCTAGAATAACTATTTTATATATTTTTTTGTGATTGTGTAATATTATTCGTGGGTACTTGAAACTTTTAAAGTACACTTTTATATATCTATGGAGTATGGACTATGATAGTATCAGGATTTGTTGTTGACGAATAACGCATTAAAAGTACCTAATGGATATTGTGATATGATTGATTTGGAATTTATTATAGGTAAATTTTTTTTAATACGATAGATAAGTATATAATATGTCCAGTGGCGGATATACAAATTATTTTCACTACGGGCCAATTTTGGCAATTTATCACTATTCAAGCATAGCACGACTAACATAGCCATAACTATACATATTTTAGGAAGCTGGGTGGTTATAATTATGAAATATACAATACAAATAAAAATGTCGCAATTTAATATTATAGTTATGTAAAATTAATTCTTTAATTCTTTTTTAAAAAATATTGACAATTTTTTATATATATATATATATTTTAATGTTATCTAACTGTGAATTTAACATCAAATTCATCAAAGCAAGTCCTGACAATCATTTTCTTGTTGATTCCTCAAAAACGATTTTAATCAACAGCCTAAATTATTCATGGTAAAAAACAATAAAACAGTGGTGACATACATGAAGTGCTTTAATTGAATCTGCAATTTCACTATGGGCTCTAGCCTAGGGGGCCGCCGCCTATATACGCCACTGAATATGTCTTATACCTAGACTGACATATCGTCTCCGCTCAGAATCGTTTTTCTTATACAATGATATTATATCATTGAATTAAAATGTAATACTATCCATTATACAGTGACCCACTTGTAACCTACTGTACAGCAGAACACCTTTTTATAATTTTATATCAATATAATAATTATATCATTATTGGTTTTTACAGGAAAAAAGTTAGCTAAAAATAACCACTTCACAGTACGAAAAACCACTAACTGATAATGTAAAAATAATAGATAACACAATTTAAACTGTTCACTATTATACGTCTATAGTGAATACGTCTATACATATACTACCTACTTCATTATTACACAGGAATACAGCGACACGGTGTATAGACGTTACAGTCGTTACACTTTTGATTCCAATTTCCAAGTACTAATTTACTATCGAACACTCAGTATCTAGCCGTCAAATTTCTTCTGTTAGATATTTGCCTACCTGCATAACAGGACCCACCGCCGGACACATACTAGTTGCAGACGAATTATTCAGGTTAGGAATTATAATTTATAATATAACAATTGCGGACACGAGTTTCGTTGTCATAATACTAATTGCGTACAGAGCTTTTTTTAATAAAAACTACGTAAGTTGAGGACACAAATATTTCCCTTCACCACTTTTTCAGGACTTATGACAATAGCTAAAAAAAAAATTGGTAGGTGGGGTTAAAAATATTTGTGTCTTGCAAAAGATCAATCGTTATTTTTAAAATGTTGTTGAATTATAGATTGTTTTAATTTTGTGGAAAAAATTGTTTATAAAATATTTATAGATTATCGTCATTATTAATTATCGTCATAGTTTTTAAAACAGCCTGTATATATGATATTCTACTGATTTCACCACGTGAATATTGTAACATTATCCGCAATTAGTATCTTATATTTGTGTCCGCAATTCGTATGTTACCTTTTTAGATTTCGTCCGCAACTCGTATGGTTTTTGTCACTTTGTCCGCAATTCGGAAACACCGCCACCGCCCACCCATTTAAAAGGGGTGGCGGTCGCCACCCTTACTATATAGGTTCGGCGCCACTACAGTAGTGGCAGATGGACAGTGGAGGAAAAGGAGCTATAAAACAAAATATGATTCATTATCGGGAGCGGTCATTTTTATTTTTTGGACTTCAATAATGATTATATGCCAGGGGCGTCATTTCAATTTTAGATTCTGAGCGAAGCGATGAATGTTTTGTTTTTACAATAATGTGTGTTTTATTTTGTGTCTGTCATCACCTTTTATATATATTAGGTACCTTTTATATTGTTTCAAAGACAGATGAAAAATATTAAAAATCCGTAGTCACAATTTTTTTTATAAGCAATTAAAGTTTAAATTTTGACAAAATAAGTTAGAAATTCATAAAAAATTTCTTATACAATGATATTATATCATTGAATTCAAATTTAATACCATCCATTACAGTGACCCACTTTTAACCTACTGTACAGCAGATACATCCATTTGCCCATCATTTTTTTTTTTATTGATGCTGATAAAATGTGGACATTTGATTTTAAATTAATTTCCATCATAAGTCAACCTACATCAACCTACTAAATATAAACATTTCAAAATGACGCGTTAGGTATATAAAAAACTGGTTCTAATATGTGCATATTTATTATTTCAGGCAACAATCATTGGATTCCATACTTCTAAAGTTATTTTTGTCGGTATAAGAAATAGGTATTGTGCAGTGTGTGAGTGAAGTAAGACTATAAATCAAAAACCAAAAGAACACGAATATTTTATGAACTGGACAAAGTCTTCTACTTGTATGGAAGCAGATGGCATTGCAGAGGGTTTTTTAAAAAGCATAGAGTTACACGGTCTCAAATTCAATCGATTAATTGGTAAAAAAAATGTTTTAAGAAAAAATATATATTTTAGTTTTTTTTATTTAAAATCATGTACCTACATTGTAATTATACAAAGTATAATATTAAGTATAAATATATATATTATAAAATATAGGCGATGGAGATAGCAGTATTACAAAACGTCTAAGAGAAGTTATACCTTATGGTCCTACAAGACTAGTAGAGAAAATAGAGTGTAGTAATTACCTACTACGTAATTTTGGAACCAAAATTTCAGCAATTTCTATAAATACAAAGTATCCTGCTTTGATGAGAAACTTTATTAAAATCCATATCAAAAAATTCCCTATTGCAATTCGAAAAGCAATTGAGTATCGAACAAATTTGAAGGCACCACAGCATGTAAAAATATCAGGTTAGGATAACCTAACTTATCAATTTATAAAAAATACTTCTTAAATGCTATGTTATTATTAAATTGTAGGTCTTGTATTGGATATTAGCAATAGTTTTTACCATATATTAGGTCAACATAATAAATGGGATGAATACTTTTGTAATAATAAACAAAAGATTAGTGAAAACTTAGTGCCAGCTGCATTTAACTGTGGATTAATGTCAGAATTTAAATTGGTTGCACAACGACTTATTGATAATGCTACAAGTCTATTACACGATGTAACGAACAATATTTGTGAACAATTCAACAGTGTTATTAATAAATTTATTGCGGGAAAGCGAATTAACTTTTCACAGATGAATTCGTATAATAGGTACTCGTGTAAAAGCTTAACTCTGGTGGAATGTTTCTTAGACATGCACAAAAACATTACTAACAATAGTCCAGATAGACACACATAATATTATATGATCATTTTTACATTTGTTTTAATTTAATAATTAGTTTAAGCTATAATAATATTATAACAATTTTTTATGTAAACTCGGAAAACAATTTTTGTCCACAAAACTCCGAAAACTAACGGAAACGAGAAAACGACGACAACTATTTCCAGTTAAAAAAAAAATAAAATTATTAAAAACACTGGCCCGGACAAATTTTATGGGCTTGCTAAACCCTAAGCAGAAGATGATGTTATGGATGTCGAACCGTTTGTAAACCAAAAGCAAAGGTTTCTTGCATCGTTACAATTAAGTCACGAAAAGCGTTGTGTCATAGAACGATATACACGAAATCAAAGAAATTGTCAGCAATGGTTTAGTGAAAGAAGAGTTCGACTTACCGCATCCAATTTTGGAAGGGTTTGTAAAATGCGTGCTAATACATCTTGTAAAAATACAGTTTATGACATTTTATATGGAAACGTAACTTCAAAAGTAATGGAATATGGAAAAATAAAGGAAGATGAAGCAGGACAAACATTTGAAACAATGACAAAATTAAAAGTAAAAAGTTGTGGTTTATTTATCGATAAAGATATTTCATACTTGGCTGCTAGTCCTGGTAAATATAATTAAAGCAATAAACACAGTTACCTATTTATACAATTTTAATGTTTTTTTTTTCAGATGGTTTAATAATTGGTGAAAATGCTATAATCGAAATAAAGTTTTTATTCAGTAAAAGACTATTTACACATTTGAGACCCTATTGTAAATAAAAAGGTATATACTATATACCTATGCTTAAATCAGAAAGCATAATACATATTTAACTATTTAAGTACTTCGAAATCCTATAAAATATATTAACAGCTCTTATTTTTTTATTACAAAAATATTTTGGATCCAATACTTGTATTTAGAAAATAATGATATTAAATTAAAAACTCAAAGCTTATATTATTTCCAAGTACAAGGTCAGCAAAGAATAACAAATACAAATTTATATTATTTTGTCATTCACTCTGAATCATGGACTCACATATTGAATATCGAATATGATGAATTTTTTTGGAATAATAAAATGGAAAACCAGCTAAAATTGTAAGTACCTTTATATATCATAATAATAATTTTATATGAGTTAAGTAACAAATAAACAATTACATATTATGTTTAAACTGCTTATAAAATTATTTTCTTAGGTTTTATTTAGATTGTATTCTTCCGGAAATTATTGATCCCAAATTTGGAAAAAGATTGTTAAAATCAGATATATCTGAACCTAAAAGAATTCAAGATGAGCTGAATAAAAAAACGAAAAATAAATAAGTTTTGTTTTCTATTTTGTACAATTTGTATAGTCATGTCCAGTGTAGGTACCTACCTATGCCATAGGTACACTCGTTATACTAAATATAATATATTATAAAATATTGATATATATTTATAATATATACTATAATATATAGGTAGGTACCTAATTGAATAAAAATTAAGTTATTAAAAATTGGCATTGGTTATTTTTTTATAATATAATTTATGAAATGTTTAAATGATTTAGTATTATTTAAACTGTTATTTATAATATTTTTCATTAATAATTACCTTCCTAATACGCTCAACATTTTATTTTATTTCCACTAGGTAATGACAATTTTTAAGAAACCTTATTTATTTATCAACAATAATTTTTAAAAAAACTAATAAAAATCGAAATATTCTAATGCCTATAAATAGCCCAAAAAGAGTCAAATTATATTATTGTTCATTTTTATATTTTTACTTAGGTACTTATGGTAATTGAAGGGTCCGGTACTCCGGTGCAACAACAAGGTATCTCCATTTGGTGATTTTGACAAATATTTAAACACAACCAAAGGAATATTTATACCTACTCTTACTTTTTTATTTGATTGCATACCTATTATATATTTTATTTAAATATAAATATATACCTGATATAATCAACTGTACATTATAATATACCTAATTGCATAATATACACTGTAGAGTGTAACCATAGGTACAATAATTACAGTTGATTATATTAGGGATAAACTTATAATTAAATTAAATATATAATAGGTATGTAAGTACCTAAATAAAAAGTAAGACTATAAAAATATTCCTTTGGTTGTATTTAAATATTCGTCAAAATCAAATATTCGGCGTAAAATATTTTTAATGAGAAAAGTAAAAAATTTTGTAGAACTTTATGGTAAAAATATATATTTTGTATGGTGTATACTATAATGGTGTATGCAATTAACTTTTAGCGTATATTGTCATATTTTATATAAATACATGCAATGACATTTTCAAATGTAATTTTTTTGGAAAAATGAATTTAACCTACTGTAGTAAATACTAATGCCTGCAATACCAAATTTAATTACTAAACTAATATTTAGATATTTCGGTTACTGTTATAAATTAGATACTATTTACTGTATTACTAGTATTAGTGTATTGTATATGTTTTTTAGAGAGTAAGTATCTAAAAATGCAATAACATGGTTGCCACAATATTTCATTAACCATTTTCCCTGACTTTTCCATACCTTTCCCGTGTGTTTCCAGTATAATATTATACTATATTTTAAGGGTAAATAAATATTATGTTTAACAATTTTGTTAATTTTATTATACCTACCACCCTTTATATAAATAAGAAATAGTTTAAACTATCAATGAACCTGCTTTAAAAATATTAGGGATTAAGGTCATATTCTAATTTATTATTACAAAATAAGATTGATATTTTAAAAAATAACATGATATAAATACACATAATTTAATACAATACATAATATTTATTAGATATGTATGTCAACAGAATAACAAGTATTTTGGTATTTTAAAAATATTAATAAAACATAACATCAATAAAAACAATAAGGAACTTCGTTCCAACATTTTTTAAAAATGCAATAAAATAAGAAAAAAAAAATAAACCTTTGTTTTTAACCAGTCTTTTGGTATTTTAAAAATATTATTAAAACATAGGTAACATCAATAAAAACAATATATTTTTTAAAAATGCAATAAAATAAGAAATTAAAAAAAAATATAAGCCTTTGTTTTTAACCAGTCTTTTGGTATTTTAAAAATATAAATAAGACATAACATATAATAAAACGATACATTTTTTTAAAAATGCAACAAAATAAGAAATAAAAAAAAAAATAAGCCTGTGTTTAACCAGTCTTTTGGTATTTTAAAAATATTAATAAAACATAACATCAATAAAAACAATACATTTTTTAAAAATGCAATAAAATAAGAAATTAAAAAAAAATAAACCTTAGCTTTTAACCAGTCTTTTGGTATTCTAAAATTATTAAGAAGACTTGAAACAAAGAGATGAACAATTTATCTTAATAGTTGCATTTATTTCAAGTCCTCTTAATCAAACATAAAAATTATTTTATTTAAAAAAAATGAATGCTACTATTAGGAAAGATTTTTCATCTCTTCTTCGATAGCATCTATATTACGTTTAGCTTCTTCAAGTAATTTAATTTTTTTTTCTTTTAGTTCTTTTAATATTTCCCCAGCTCTTTTCTTGTTTTTAGCTATTTCTTCTAAATCTTGAATAGCCTTTTTTTTATTTTCCAATGCACTGTTGTAATATGATCTAGCAGACCTTACTGCTAAAATCATTTTTTTGGAGATATTAACATTTTCCAATCCACCAGCACTATGTAAACCATCCCACACGTGTCGTTGATTTATTAATGATTCCTCACTCAAATTTTCAACTATACATTCCTTATTAATGCTGAATCCTCGCTCTACTGTAGCATTACCATGTGATAAAACAAATATCTAAATTAAATAATATAACAAATTAATATACTGTTAAAGTAAGGGTTATACTAAAATAATGCATAATAATGTTATACATTAAATACTACTACACTTTTTCTAACATATTTATTTGACTCACTTTTTTCAACAAATCCATTTGAACATCGGACATTTCTTCATATTCTAGACATATATTTCACCAAAAATGATCCAATCTAGTTTTATTTCGTACAAAGCATTTAGCTCTTTCGAGAAATGCTTCATTTGAAAAGAGATTAATGAAACCTCTCTCAATCAAATCTCCTTTGTTCCCGTATATCCATTGATTTTCAATCATGTGTGATACAGTTGTTTTTAACCGAATCAATGAAACACGTCCTCTTGAAGATGAAATAACATTTGGGTCACAAAACGTAAGTGCTTTCACCAACTTAAACTTCAAAGGAGATCTAAAATGAATAATTTATTAAATTAAAAAAACACAATAATAATACTTTTTTACTTTTTATACTATTTTTTCAGAATCTAATGTGTAATGAGTAACTAAAAATAATAAGTCTTACTTTGTAAGAAGCTTTTGACAGAAAGTTTGCAGGATATTTAAACATTCGGTTCTAAACATGTACATATCTTTATCGTTGGCCACAATTGTTCGAATAGCAGCACGCGTTAAGAATCCCAAATTAATTTTCTTTGCTCCAACATTATTATCTTTACTTAAAATGTCAATTTTAGAAATAGCGATAATCTCCATATTCCCAGGACCTCAATACCTGTCAAGGCATACAAAGAATAGAAAACCTCCTACAAAAAAAGTGCTGTTCAGTTCAATAAATCAGGTAATCACAATTCTACCATTTTGTAGCTCATGATATTTGAGATTTTACTAATTTAAAAAAGGCTGCTCCCATCTTGTCTTTTTACTATATTCTATTATGTTAGTCGCAGGTCAATGAAGTTAATAACGAAAACAGTTGTATTCAATCGCATTTGGTTTCCACTGAAACTGCCATCTCCTCTCTACAGCCAGGTGTAATATTTTCTTTCACAAATATTTAAAAATCCAGCTGTAGTTTTATGTCCAAGTGGTTGGCAGTATAAAAGTTAATGGAAAAAACCCATTTATAACTTTTTATTTTGCAATATCGTGCATTGATATTGATGGGACATTTGGATTGTTACTTGAAAAACAGATTAGCTTTTGTAAAGATATGGTGATAATGTGTAAAATGTATAACAAAAAATTTGATTTAGAAAAAATTGGTATAGAAATTCTTTGTTTACCGTTAGTTCAAAATATTGCTAGTATTTTACAAGAGATTAATAATATTATTCATGTGTGTATTGGGGGCCCGTTAGAACACCGATATCCTGGTATTCATCACAGTATGGCACTTAATGGACGTTGGCAACATAAACAGTGCCCATATAAAATACCACAAAAACAAAGCTGTTCGCATTGCTTTAACATAAGTGGTGCAATTTGAATGAAAAGGAAATGGATGTCAGAAGGTAAAAAAGTATTTTGTTTTTGTCGCCATCTAAGAAGAAGCAACTTAACACTATTAGAAAGGATAAGCATAGAATTCAAAAAAAGGTATTACGGCCAAATGCAGAGTGAAAATATTAGAGAGTGAATTAAGAGCTGCGAAGGATGAGTTAAGTAAAATACCATGCAGTTTAATAGAAGATATAAATTAATAAACATCAGTTGAATGATTCTCAATCAATAATGTTAAGTAATAGCCGTCTGCTTCAAGTAAATATACTTAAAATATACATCCAGATCTCACGTCACCCTATTCCTTTTCACTTCTACTTCCTCTACTAATTATGGTCAAAATGAGCCAAAACGAAGCTGCATGTATATAGCGAATCAAGATCCTTCTTTCTTCCTTTGATAATACATGAAATGTTTTAAACAATGTATAAACTGTAAATTGCGCAAAACCCCTTGATGTATTATAAAACAAAATAAAAATCATTTATGTATGTATTATTATTTAGTTTGTAGTATACATTTATCACATATCCATAATTTATCATACTACAATTAAAAGCAACATACATTTTATCATCAATCAATTTACCATTTATTTTACATAAAACAATAAGCGAGTATAATTTTAAATGATGACATACATATATGGTATTATTTTAATCATAAAATACATATGAATATAGTTGATTTTACAATATCTACAATTATTTTAATAATGAAAAAAAAATATATAAATAAATTAGGATGAATTTTAAAAACAAACAATTTCCCTATGATAGGTAATTAAGTTGTTTTGGCCTTTGGATTACACATTTTTTAAGAGAGCACAATACATTTGTCATAAACATTTGTCATAAATATATAAAATATGTGTAAGATTTAAAAAGACATATACGTAAGATATAAACATACTTCAGGGTAAAATATAAAATATATTTTTTAATTGAAAAAAAATTAAATAAATAACAAAATATTTTTGTAAATTATTAGTTTGTAGAGGATTGTTTAATGTTCACTAAAATTATAATACATTACCTCAAATCTAAAATCATTAAAATTTCACAAAAGATTACAATATATTATACTGAAGATTCATTGTACAATATTTAATATAATAATTATGCAGAATTTTTCTAAAATATAATTAATTTGTTTATAATAATACAAAATATAAGACGAGAATGAGAGTAAAAAAATACGTTAACCCTAATAATAATTGAGTACTTATGAATACAAACAATTTTTCAAGAAAATGTAAAATTAGGTAATGAAAGAGTTAAACCAAAAAAAGTTATGAATTTACAAATGTAAATTACATTTATGAAATAAGAATTGATTTTTAATGTATATATATTTAATAAAAAATAACAAATTTAGTAAATATAAGAATTTGCCTTCCACTAGTTTTATTATGGTGTTATAACATTATTTTAAAGGGCTAAAATGTTGGCTGAGGAAAACTGATGTGATTTTATTATAAACAATTATTACAATAAGTAAGGATTTGATGGTCAATTTCTCATAAAAGTAGTATTATTATTTCTATAATGATGTAGTCTTTATGTATAAAGGAAAACGTATCTAAAAATATAAAATTGTATATTAACCAGCTTTACAAATTAATATTAAAATACTTTAGAGATGGACAACTCAAGATATAAATGAAAGTACAATAGTTTTAATTTTTAAATCATTAGCATTTAATAATAATATTATATTTCTATGTTTCAAATGATGCAATAATTCTAGTTAAACCTCAATCAATTCTAAACAACATTTACTTTTGTACAAATTGTTTTTACAGTCATTGATTAGTTATTATTACTTATAAGTTATAATACTTATAAAGGCTTGGAACATTTATTTATATATTTAAACACACTTAATCGGTTCATTTAATGACAGTTATAATCCACTTAAGTACTTTTAACCATTTTATACAATTTATGAAACATATCAAATATTTTCAATAAATTATACAGATTTTGTATTATATTATAAAAGTTTTAAGTCAATTATCTCACATAGTCCAATGCAGACGTTTGCAAACTGTAGGCCGCAGCCCAAAAGTGGACCACGATTATATTTTTGGTGGGTCATATTAGGTTTTGGAATATTTATATATTTGTATAATAAAAAATATTTGATATCAGATTACTCTAAAAAAGAAAAGATACACTATAATATATATATAAATTAAAATAAATATGATTGAGTATTTTCCGTGTAACTAAATCATCTTACATTGATGTTTGAAATTAGTTTTATCATTGATTATTATTATCCACGACAATTTTGAGTGTACCAGTGACGTGTTACCACAATGCCGTTAGACTAAAAGTTATCGCAAAAATATTGATTATCAATGAATAATAAGATGACATTAGTCTACGTTGTAGATCGTCAAAATTTGAACACTTTCCAAAATGGGTCGTACCGTGAAAAGTTTGGGGACGTCTAGTCTACTGTGTAATACATATTTAATGGATCCAACATTATATTATTAATTTCACCAATTAAAACGAATACTCAACCATATAGTATAATAGCATGTATTCTTTATACGTATACACATAATAAGATAATATTTCATGAACATTATACATTTAAAATTATTTATGAAACACTGACTAATCTGATTCATTAACACTATGTTGAGAAAAAATATCACTAATTTCTTCTTCTTCCTCTTCTTCTTCTTCCTCTGCATCACTTTCGCCAAAATTTGATTCATTCGAATTTTCTAAAAATTAAATATTGTTACTATTACATAAAATAATATGGCAGTTTTAATTTCAACCAGAATACACTTTATGAACAAAAAAAAATTTGTAATATAGAGGGACTCGTTAAACATAATTTGCGCATGATTAACAATGATGGTTCTCAAAAATAATTTGTTTAACAGAACATTTTATTATATACTTTATGGAAGTTTCACTGTATATAGTAGCTCCTTGTCAATAAGTTACGATATTAGAAGTTGTGAACTCCCTGCTCCCACCACAAGCTTCAATTTTATTCGCATTATTACATTATATAAATTATTCAGTTGTAAAATGAAATTAATTTTACCTAGTTAAAAAAGTATTGTGTAATATTATTATTTTTGATTTCAAATAAATAGATAAATATAATATGTACATTGTACATATTAAGTTTCACCTGGTACACATGGAATAATTTAAATGAACGTTATTTTGATGAAAAAATAAATTAATGTTATTTTATAAGGTAAATAAATAATAATAACATTGATATTTAATTATTAACTTAAAACTATCTGTTTAAATGATTAGGTAACATAATATGTAACAATCAATAAAAAAAAATGTTAACAAGTGTTAGATAAAGTTTAAGTATTAATGATACTTTAATGGAAGTTGATATGAATATTAATGCAATTTAATCAATTATTAAGTATGCATTCTTTTTTAAATTATTTAATTATATTTATATAAAAGTAGTCCAGTGTTTTTTAAGAGGGCACCACACAGTGGCATAGCCTGTAGAGATTTGGGTGTTGTTATGCTTCCCAGTGGCGCCGAAGTCCATGCTGACGTCGGGCCGTGGCCCGACCTCTTTTTTGAAAAATGTGGCCGGCCGGCCATATTTAATTTACATCATAACTTTATTATAAGCATGAGTAAATTTAAACCGTGATTATGAATAAATTTATATTAGGGTACCTCTATATTAAATAATTAAGATATTGAGTCCGGTAAGTTTTAAAATTGCCCGACCACATTTTAAAAACTTTGGCGCCACTGATGCTTCCCCCCTCATTGCCTTATGTTTATTATAACATCTCAATACCATTGATTCTTTGATGAGTATACTAGGAACAGCTAAAGCGTATTAAAGAGGGAGGAGAGTTCCTTGAATTATTATGATAATAACTACACATTTTAACTACAAACAATTTGAAATTCTGAACTCAAATTTACTATGTTGATTGTTTGTAAGATGGAAACAACTTAACAAATGAATATAATATTAAAATTGTAAGTACCAATATCCTCTTAAAAGGCAACTCTTAATACAGTGAAAGTTATTTACTACAGCATAATTGTCCAAAAATAATGATGTACATATGAATTAAAATTGTTATAATAATTTATCTTATATTTCCACTGCATACACATAAAAACACACGTTTACATACAAATATGAGAAATACACATGCCTCCCTCCATACATACATACATATAATATATATACTTATATACTTAATTGAGATATTTGTGATCTTATTTACCATTGACGTTTTGAGATTGTAATATATCATCAACAGGCCATGAAAACTTGTTATTTTCAACAATTACAGACTTATCTTTAGAAAGAGTAAAATTTTGTTCACCTGTATTTTAAAATATACATATAGATTAGGTACTAATAAAATTTGATTGTACAATTATAATCACTTATAATAATGAAAATGAAAATACCGGCAATATCAGGTGTGGAAGCATCAAGCATTGGTTGTAATATTCGTCTCCTTGCATTGATAAACCAATTATTTACTTGCAACAATGTTAAATTAGTCTGCGCTGCAATAATTTTTTTTTCATCTTCTGTAGGGTATGGATGCTGAAAACCAATACATTTTTATTATTGAAATGTATTTGAAAATTTGAATTAATTCACAAATATGTTTGAAACACCAAATTTATTATATTCAATGAGTAATTTGTAAAAATTAATTTTATGTTACATCTTATTAAATAGAATATTAATTTAATTGTCTAAAATGTAATATTTAAAAGATATAAAGGGTTTTAAATTAAAAATGTCAAGTTATATTTTAATCATAGATACCTAATATAATATATAATTATATAAAACATGTGAAAAAAACTAATTACTTTTTTTTGCATATGGCATGATATCGGTGTACAGAAAGATAAATAATATATAAAAATAATAATATTATATAATTTTACACATATTCCTTACAATTAAATGTTGAAAAAGCCATGAGCGCATTACACTTGTAGCCTGTTTAGGGAGTATTCCTCTTTTTTGTTGTCTTTTTTTTTTACTTCCAAAATAGTCATCTTCTTCATCACAAGAGCCACCACTAGTCGCTGATAAGGAACCTAAAAATATATATATATATATATAAACTTTGAACTAGTCCAAACAGTAATTAATATATTTTCAACACATTAGTATAATATGAGTATTAACTAATCTAAATGTATTTCTACAACAAAAATGATGTGAAAACTATGTTAATTAATTGTAATTAATAACTGATATAATTTTAATTAAAAAATTTAGTAAAAAAAGTTGTTTAAATAATTCATTCCTTAAAAGTGAAAAATCATAAATATTTTTACATCTTTTACTTTCATCCTTTCTTAAAATATTTGATAACTTAATTATGTTTAATATTTATATGTTTTATATACACAATTATTTTTATTAATGATTATGATAAAACACATATACACTAAATCCAATAAGTGCTATTATAATGCACTAAAAAAAGTTAAAACTAACTAATGTAACTGTGATACTTGGAGATTTATAAACCATAAAAAATATACAAAGATTAAGTTCATAAATCAATAAAAAAAAAAATGCTTATATATACATAAACATTATATTACCTACCATGTAAAATAGAAACATTACTCTGTAATACATTTGTACCGATTGCTGATAATGGTGTTTTTTCTAAAGAAGAATTTTGAAGCGTAGATTTGGTGACTGTTAAATCAAGTTGTGAAACATCAGATACTTGAGTTACATCTTTCATTTCTATAGATGTGGAAGATGGTATATTCGACAAAAGACTGGTTATGTTTTTTAAATCCATTATTGTCTTTGGTTTTATAGCATCGTTGTCTCCAGACTGCCGCACAGAAACTCCTGAAGAGGATATCACCTGTCAAACATCATTATAAACCTAAACCTAATGTACCATAATAAACTAATGAATAAAATAAATGTAAAATAAAACCATATTTTAAGTTTACCCAAACATGGACATTTACACATTTATTAAGACATATGTAGTATGTAAATACGACCGGATTAAATTATTTTACTAACTTTAACATTAATTTATACGCAAATAAATGCTTGATTATATATTATATTGTAGACACAACAATTTAAGCATAGATGTGAATAAGTGAATTGACAATTAGTAGAATATTAGTGTATACCTATATTATGTAGGTACTTAAACTTAATCAATAGATGTGGTTGGTGGTCAAAAATTTAACAAAACAACTAGGTAATTCAATTTATTTAATTAAATATTCTATATTTTACACATTTTTATCATTTAGGTAGATAATTTCATTTTATATTAAAAAAAACATTTTAAATGTTCTGTATTAATATATTTTATAATATATACACTATACATGGACAATATAGGTACATAAATCACGGCTTATTTATGTATATTTATTCTGTATATATAACTAGTATGAATGCATGTAAACTCAACAAAAACTAACTAGTATGGTTATTGACTTTCATTAATAATTATTAGTTGATGATTTAATCAAACTGTATTTCAATTCAAAACTTTATAAAAGTGTTTACTAAGAATATATTGAATATAATATATTGAATATACTTAAGAATAAAATATTATTAAATACACTCAATATACAATTGAATAATTATTTAAAACATAATATGTTTTAAGTAATTACTATAAATACTCATTTCTAATCGATAATAAATTAATCAATCAATTAATAATCGTATTAGTAAACTACTGATCACGTACTTAATCACTGATTTTGAAATTAACAGATAAGCAGTATAATATATGAATTTAGTTAATTTATATAATTAATTGCTGTCAAGTGTTAATTGAGTTCATTGAGTGAGCAGGGAAGTTAACAGCAATATTACCACACAACCACGGATTAAATAAAATAAGCTTTATATAATCTGTACTACAACTGCTAATTGGAATAAAAGCCCCAGACAACATTACTCACAACCACATGGAAATGATTCAACAAATATTTTGTAAAAGCTAATTTGTGTAATTGGTAATTACCATATTATTAATAAATAATTACAAATATATACTTATAGTATATTTTCCGTATACATAGTAAATTGATGTCACATAAGGTGCAAGTTTAGCATGTCTTATGTGACGCATACATTGACTATCCATACGGGCATAAAACAATTAAAAATCAAGTAGGTATTAAATAAATATTGAATTTTCAAAATCTACTTTCAGTAACAATAATATTTAGTTTTATATTACCTACCTACTACCTATGTATAGTTCTATCAAGATTAAATCCCCAAAATGAAATATTACGTTTCTTATAATATTTTGATGATACTGTAAATATAATATTATTTGGAGGTGTTTTTACAAGTATTCCTTGACAGGTACAGTATTTAAAAATTTATAAAATAAATATAAATATATTTAAAATGATCAATACATTAAATAATACAAATAATAATAATAATAAAATAATTATCAAATAACAGTCAATGAGTAGAAAATGAGTAAACCTATTCTTTTAAAAGAACCACTAACATATTACGCTGTTAAAAATTGTGAAAATTATGTATTATTCATTTCATTATTGATAAGTATATCCCATACGACTATACTATAAGTATATTATATTGTTGTTATTAATAATGAATAATGTGGTAAAAAGAATTTTTATTCCGAAATTCGCTATAACCATATAGATTGGACAAATCCATTGTAATGTAGTAACCAATAAATTATGATTTGGCAGTGGGTAGTAAACAAATTTCTATATACCATGGCTTATCTGTTTATTCTTAAGTCAATAATATTAAATGTAAATACTAAATAACTAGAGGTGAGTGGAACTGTTTAAAATCAAAAAATTAAACCAAAAGTTAGGTGTTCAGTTTGAGTTAGAAAAATCAAAACGAACCGAACTTGAATAAAAAGTTTGCAATTTAATAATTAATTAGAACTTTAAAAAAGTTTGAAATACCTATGAATTTTCAGAAATATTCAAAAATGTACGAACTTCAATAAAATGTCAAACACAAGATTTTCTAAGTTAATAGTATTAATTAATTTTTTTATAATAAAATTATGATAATAAAATATTATGTAGTAAAGTCAATAATAATGTATGTAAAACTATAATATTGGCACCACATTGATTGTCAATTACCATTTCCTGAGAAAAAATTGTTTTACTAAAAATGGAACAAAAACCCAAATAAAATACAAAATTCAACCGTACACATTTCACTGAAAAACCAACGATCAAATTAGAAGCATTGCTCTGATTACCAAGCGAGTTATAAAGCTATAAAGATTCAGGGTTCATTCGAAGTTGAATGAAATGTTCGGTTCAAGTTAAATATTAATACTAAATTGTTTGTTTTAAGACCACATTTTTGAGTTCACCCCACCTCTATAAATAACAATTGTTTACCTGACTATGGTGTGGAGAGTGGCACAATGGAGAATTACTATTACTTGAGTTACCGCTGCTATTATTTTCTAAGTAACCAGATGTGTAATCGGAACGCAATAAATTTTCACTTTGCATTTTAATTTTGAGACATGTTATGTATCTACTACAAAAATCTTTGCACAATTCTTGAACTTTCTCTAGTTCTAATAAATGTATTCGTAATACTTGAATAGCTTTTATCATCTGAAAAAAATTATAGGTACTTATTTTTAAGAGCATAAAATTAAGGATTGTTCTTAAAATTAATATTGATACCTATGATTCATAATTTTATTAAAAATGTACACAAGCTAAAATTAAGCCAAGTGTGATATGAAACTCAAGATTTATTTAAAAAAAAAATGTATTGTTAGTTATGATTTTTATTTGAAACCGTTTAATACACTTACCAGTCCATCGATTTCTGTATCATTAATTAAAAATGGTTTTCTATCTCTTTCTTGATGTTGGACAAAGGCTTGTATATCCATATTAAAACTTTCAGAATTTGAAATTGCTGCTGACTGAGTAGCTTGTTCACATCTTTCAAAAAGTAATGCTAGTAAGGGAAAAAGTGGATGCCTGAAAAATAATAATTTTAGGAAAGAAAAATATACAGATAGTTAAAAACATTAACTCAAAAATTACTTATAAACAGCTCGCTTATCAGCTTCAAATATTGCTTGATCGGTTTGTTGAATATTATTATTGGCGATCGCCGTTAAATTAGATGTTACACTATCTGAGTATGAAACCATTATTAAGCTTTACATTTGTTTTCTTTTTCCATTATTATAAATTGAAAACCTATAAATTAAAAAAAACTAAATAAGTACATAACTCAAATATAAAATTCTCCATGAATTATTCTAATTTAAATCATTATAATAAGGATTAATTATTATAATCACTTTTTTATTTTCAAATTTTATGGATTATGGAATACCCACATAATGATTAATAAGTATAAAACACTAACGTACCAACATGATTATATAAACCATAAAGAATTCAAAATGTTTACAAAATAATATTCAAATATTAATCATTATTCAAATTCATAGAGAAATTGTAAGTAACTAATATGACATTATGCTTCTAAAAACTAATTTTTATAATGAAATCAAAATATGTAAACCCATATTATTACACGTTAATATTGTATTTGATGCTATTTACTGAAGGAAAATAGGTGAAACAATCAATATCATCAAAAGAATTATAATTACTTTTCTCAAATAGGTTAGTTGACAAAATAATAATAGAAAATTATTTTTAATTAACATATCTTGTAGAATAATAAATGTTTATTTGAGAAAATTGAATTGCATTAATTTAACAATCAATACCGACACAACGGTAATTTGTTTCCAGGCTAACCTACTCGGACAGAATGTCAGGTTAGGACAATAACAATTGTCTTGGATCCAATGAGTCACATAGACCTAACCAGGAAAAGTCATGATCTCAGCAGCATATATTTAGTTTGTTCAACATAACAAGATCACAACGCAAACTGCAAAATAAGTCTGTCACACCATACCGTAAGGGGACCACCGTAGTTACAACGGACTCCCAGGCCATGTCGCATACTCACTGGCCACAGTTGTCGATGGACATCAACACGATACAAATACGATCGGCAGCGGTCCTCGGAGCCAGGGGCACGCGGTCGGACGGACGGAGCCGGATCCGGAGAATTGGACACTCGCACGTTCACCGGGCGAATCGCCGTCGGACGAACGATGTGCCGGCAAGACGGAGATCGCGCGGCGGCGACGCGTTGTGCGCGTGCATGCGTAACGGGCAACAGCAACAACAACAATTATAATAATTACATCAATAATACCGCCATAGTAGTCGTAGTGCGGTAACGATGATAATAGTAATAATAATAACAACAACACCGACGACCGGACGACATGTACGCCGAAAGCCGAGAGAGAGACGGAGAGATAAGGGATCCGCTACCGCTAGTTTTTTTTATTATCATCGTCGTCGTCGTGAATCGCGATGTCGTCGGATAGAGCCGCAGTGTGTTACATAGTTCAGAGCGTCGTCGCGGCAAGCGCTCGGGTATTTATCTCTTTTTCCCCCTTTTTCTCCCTTGAAACGATAACGATAAATAATAAAAA